GCGACCGTAATCGGGACTCGGTTGGTGAAAGCACTCGAACCGTGATACCAATATAAGCGCAGAGATAGACGACAGGGTTGAGGAATATCTCAAACGTCGAAAGGTTCAACTGTCCATGTGTGAATGTCCTGCGCATTGGCCTCCTGAAGTCCGGTCACCCAGGAGGTTGAATTATAATAGACATACCTATCTGGATGGCACAAAGTCAACCGTCTCCCATAACCCCTTCCACAGCAGCCATAACACCGCACCGTTGTTTAATGTATGATGTGTCGAGCCATTTCGCAGTGATATCTGGATGTTAGCAGCGGCGTGAATCCCTGTTTGGTGACAGAGAATGCTGCGCAAGGAGAGTAGGCGGGGTGTGTGGTTGGTGCGCAAACATGTTACTAGGGTGGAGGTCGTTCGTTGTCGGGTTCGTCGCTAGCTAGTCGCCGTAGTAGAAAGCGAGCGCTCTGACTCTGAGTGCTCAGTGCTCAACGTTCAATGCTCGCTGTTTGTTGATGTAGGATGCTTTGCAAGAGACGTAGGCGGAGAAAGTGGTTGGTGGGCAATATGTCACTGAAGGGGTGGAGGTCGTTCGTCATCGGAAGGGGTTCGTCGCTGGAAGCGAGTGCAAGCGCTCATGTGCAGCGTGTGTCCGGACACCGGCAACCATCAGCCAGAGCTATTTTTGGAACGACAGCGTGGGCATTGCGTGCGAAGTGACAGGATTACCCCCCTCAGAGGCCAATTACCCCCAGACAAAAAATTGGCCTCTGAGGCCCCCTAGCGCTTAAGAAGCGCCAGGCCCGAGGTGCGTTAGTCAAGCTTGGGAAGACAAATCATTAACCCGAGCACAACTTGACTATGCTGCTCGTGAAGCGTATGCATCACTTCTCATTTACGAACATCTCCAACAGTTTGATATTCCTCGTCGACTCCCATCCACCCTTATACCTGGAACATCTGTTCTGTTATTCAACTCTGACAACACCACAGTTGTTGCAGAAGGTCGAATCTCCTCTGACAATAGCCGAGTCTACGACAGGGTCAACATCACTTCAACAAAGGCTCTCATTGATATTGACCGAGTTCTTGTTCCTGGTGCTCTCATTTCTTCTCATGGGAAGCAGGCCTTAACATCCTTTGGACCTGTTCCATTCACACTTGTCTGTCTCAGAAGTCACCTGCGAAGTTTCAATCCTGCCTCTTCACCTCAGGCAAAAGCTTCTGCCCCGAATCCAAGTCAAGATGGTGGAAACCTGACTAGACCCTCATGTCCTGCTGGTGTTGAGGAGCCTGAACCAGATGATAGTGGTGCTATCTCCGTTGGAGATTTACTGACAAGTGATCTCTCAGCCTCTGAGTCCCCTTTGTCCGAAGTCCCTCAATCAGTTGATGCTAAATGTGCTTCAATTGGAGAGAAAATCCTTGGCCCTGAGCCAGAACTCCAACCTGATGAGCCAGAATTTGACTCAACACTTCGCAGTCGTGTTTTGAAGGATCCCTTTCATGTTTTCAACATGTTCTACCTTTCGGCATCACATTCCCTTAGGCTTCAATTCACGAGAGAGCTTTGTGATGCAATTTTTGTTCCCGATGAGGACGATAAAGCACGAATCAATAGCTGGGGTGCAACCCAGAATCCTCCTCAAACATACGAACGACTCCGCAATTCCTCCCCCCAATGGGTCCGTGAAAGATGCAAGCATATAATCCCTCTCCCAAAAAA